CCATGTTGATATCTACATCTTCAACAAAATTGGACTATTGTTCGGGGTTTGCTTTCTAGATCCACTTGACATAATCTTCTTCACAAATTGAAGCTTTTATTTTTCTCCAGTTACCCTTCGCTTGCGACTTTCGAAGATGAGAACTCAATCAATTTTTTAGAACATCTCCACCACCACGAAAGGGAGTTACCGGCATTGGACGGAATATTGTTTTGCCATTGTTTTGATTGCTAGTTTTCGGTGTGTGCTGAAGAAATAGAAGAATTAAATGCCTAGGGTAAGTAAGTACAAAAAGATGATGTAATTGATTGGATTTAAGTTATTGACTCCCATAAAATCCCTTTAAACACGACACTAACCATAAAAAAAGCAAGCAATCAAAATTAAAAATTGAATAAAAAAACAAAAACATAACTTGGTCAGCCTTGTTGAAATACAAATAAGATTCTCAATTATGCTATATTTGCAAATAACTTTTAAATATCGTANTATATATATATATATATATTTATATAATAAAAATACTTGAACTCGTATGTGGAGTAATTTTCTCAAAAAAAAGAGAATTTTACCTCCTTTACTATTGATTTGTTAAATAGTATTATCCATACGAAGTCACAAACTTCTAATCATAAATACGTTTTTTGTTTTTTAAACAACCACCCACTACACAATTAATATTTGTTTACTCTCTTGCATGAATATTGGGAAGCGTGATAATCTCATTCTTTCTACACTCAACTGTAAAACAAAAAACAAAAATATGCTTTCTCTCTCCATATCTTAGCTCCCGTGTATCCTCTTCACAAGGAACCCAAAAAACTCTATCTCACCCAAATACACAAATAAACTTCTCCTCATTCTCGAATTGTTCAATGGCAAAGAGAAGAAAGAATGAGGCTAAATTCTTCAAAAGTGAAGACGAAGCAAGATTAACTCGCTTCGATCTCGTCGAACATCTCAATTTCAAACTCCCGAGCGTAAGGTTGTCCAAAAGAAGCTCCAATTTCAAGAAATTGAAGCTCCGAGCCGTTCCAAAATAATTGTATCCCATGACGGACGAAGTTAATTCAGACGGAGATGACGATTTTGTGTCTGAACAAAAAATAAAACCAAAAAAAAAAAAAGATGTCCGATGACACCAAGAAAACGAGGGTTAGAGACGACAAGGGTAAAACAAAAATTATTGATTCTCTAAAGAATCAACAAGAGTCTGATTCCTTGAACTTTCTCGGATTTTGTTTATCTAATGCATGTATTTACCATAATTATACTACAATTGTGTGTATAATAATATATATGTTCTGTCAATTGCCTCAATATTAGAAACTGTCAAATAATGTTTATCTGATGTTATATATACAATATCATATATATGCTCTGTTTGCCTCAATATTAGAAACTGTCAGATCATGTTTATCTAATGTATATATACAGTATATGTGAACATATATTAAAAACACCAACACGAAATTACCTTTTGATCAGAGGAGATTTCACGAAGAACAATTTTTTCGTTTTCAATCCCAATCGGAGCTTTATTTTTTTCCAGTAGGATGGACGATTTTTTTTCGAATTCAAGATGTTGAAGAACAAACAATTCCGTTTGAAATTTTGAATTCTTGAATCCCTCAATTCTAGGTATCATATTTGGTATTTTTTCATTTTTGAAATTTTCGTTTTATTTGCTGTTCATTCGGCGAGACTGATTGTATGTTTGATTTATGGAGAGAGAAACCGATCTTTTAGGTGAGAGGAATGGAATATCGTAGATGTGAAAAAAAAAAAATTACATCCAAATACCCCACGTAAATTTCTCATTTTGTTTTGGTTTATACTTTATATTTCTTCTCTCTCCACGCAGTTGTTTTTCCTTACGTATGTTTTCTTTTGTCATCTTTACCCTGGCAAATAATTTTTGCTTTTTATCTGCCTATATGAGATGAGAATGATAAAAATATATTTTATTTTATTTTTAAATTATCAAACATCATCTTATCAGTTACGAGATAATTAGAAAATGAGAGAATTAGAAAATGTTAACATACATCATTTTGATCAATCATGCATTAGTTCTCTTACTCCATTGTACTAAAAAGCTTCACAATCCATTCAACCAAATAAGTCGTTGCTCATATCTCTCTTATCTATATGTGAAAGAGTTAGAGGGTTTCAAATGGCGACACATGTCCATTTTTATGGTCTTCAAAAGTTGACAAGTGTCCCATTTTATTTACAGTTTTGCCATTCATTTGCCATGTCCCATTTTATTTACAGTTTTGCCATTCATTTTCCAAAAATCTGCTTTTGTTATTATTATTTTTTTAACCGGAGGTCGAAACGGCGTCGTTTATTTTTATTGGTATTAGCTGATGAGTGGACAACAATACGTGAGGTTCTTATTGTAATTTTCGCTGAACTGAACTGTTTCGTGCTGCCATATCTTAGCGGAAAATCTGCAAAGGCTTGCGTACGCCGCTTCCATGACATCAAACTTGATTTGATTTCCGTAAAATGCGTATTTCCTTAAGCGAAAGACCTTTCATTTATTCTCAATCTCTGCTCTACTTTTCGCTTCATCCGAAACCCAAAGTTATTTCTTCATTTTCCTCCATTCTCACATAAGCTTTTTATCTGCCTAATTTATCGAGCCTCGGGAGTAATCTCCTAAGTGTGGTCGCGTTAGGAGATCTCGATTTCTCGATCATCTACTCAGCATACATGATTGAGGATGAAGATTAAGAATTACAAGGAGAAAACGAACAATAAGAAGAAGAAGAAGACGAAGAAATCGGCCTCGAGCAGATCCACGAGGAGCGAGAGGAGTTGATTGCCATCAGCTCCAGGAACTAGCTGGCCTCATCCCGTAATTTCACATTCTCCATCTCTCCCTCAATCTATTTCTACATTTAAGGTTTTTTGAAATTGGGGCTTTTGACTTCGGGGTGCAAATTTTTATGGTCCAATATTTAATTTGTTTGTTTTTTTTTTCAGAAAATTCAGGCGATCGGATTGAAAATCCTAAATGTTGCACACGTCTTCCTCTGTTCGTTGTACGAGGATTAAATCTTCTTAGAGCTAATAATGTTCATCACACTCGTTTGAGAAGAATGGTTTAGCTAATGATTAAGGAACTTTCTCCTTCTTCAGATGAGATTACTCGAAGCTGAACTCCATGACCAAGGAGTTCGTACCGCCGTCCCTTTCCTTCCGTGATGGTGGGCAGCCGAGGTTTCTGGTGGTGCCGCCCCATGTAAGTTCAAAACTTTTAGAACATAGTCAAACTTAAAGGATTCTTGAAAAAATCAATTGTACCAAAAGCTCTGTCCTTGTTTTTAATAATATACGCGTTGCACGAGAAAAGAAGGCTACTCTAATTGGAAAGGCTGCATATACTAGCAGTTTTCTGTTTTTGAGGGAATTAGAGCTTTTATTCACGTAGAGTAACGAAATATCTTCACTTATCAGATATCGGTGCTTGGATTTGCGGCGTTTTCATATGAATAAGACTATAATGTTGCGGCACAGAGTGATGAAATTAATTTGCAGATACTTAAGGACATTCATGGTTCTGTGGAGGTGTTTACTTTGTTGATTTTCAGTTTATCTATAATAATTTGTTGAGTAAAATAAGCTATTTTTCAAAGAAATTGCACATGTCAAAGCTTGGTTCCTTGTGTTGATTCAGACCTTTTAATGTTTGTAGGGTAGATTGAAACTCCAGTTCTATCTTGATCTACTCCGGAAGATGCAATGGGTTATATGAATGCTTGCTGACCTGGCACTAATTCATCACCGTGACAAATTGCTTTCTTCTAACAAGGTATGTACTTTTTCCAAATGGGTTTTGTATTCACACTATGAAGGCTCCATTTTTGTTGCGAATTTTTTACCGAAGTTGTAGTTCAGTTGTTATCTTGTTTCTTTTTTTTATAAAAAGTGATACAAAGCAAAATCTCTTTTATCGAGACACGGTAGAAATGCAAAACCTACGACTAAAATTAACATATTTAGGGAGGAAATCATGTCTGTCTAACTTTCTTAAGTTTTTGCCTGCAGCCATGAATTTATATTATGTTGGATTGACCACAATCGCTTCAGCCTAGACAGTGTATGCGGCGAAGTAGGTTCGGAAATTGTCGCCGCTAGAGACACGGATCAATGGCGAATAAAAAAGGACTACTGCGGCCTTCTCGCTGGGCCTCCATCAGATGTGAGATGTGCGCCTCAATGGACGGATCTGATCCTAATGGCATAAGGTTTTTTCAGATTTTTTTTTGGGAGATCGGAATTAGGGTTTTGTTCTTTGTTGATATCTAGGGTTGTAAACGAATCGAATCAAAGCGAATACTAAGATATTCAATTCGGATTTGTTAAAATATTCGAGGATTCGAATTCGTATTCGATTTGTAAATGAACTCATTTTTTTTATTCTTATTCAATTCGCTTAGAATATTCAAACATATTCGATTCGATTCGAAATTCTTTTTCAAAAAAATAATATAATTAAAAAGAAAAAGATTACAATCACAAAAATATTATTTATTTTTTTCCTATCTAATTTGAGATGTTTTTAGGACAAATTGTTAATTTGGGATGTTTTTCTTTGTATGTCATAAAAATAATAGGAATATAACAATATATATACATAAATATATATTATAAACAAATTTTATACTCTATATAATTTATAAATTCTATATAATTATCATTAACGAATCGAATATTTGATAATTTTGAATGGAATATCTACAAATTCAGATTCGTATTCGTATTCGTTTAACTTTCGAATATAAAACATTATTCATATTCGATTTTGAATTCGAATATCGAATCGAATCGAATCGAATAAAAAAAATTGCTTTGTTCACAAGCCTATTGACATCAGTGGTTGATTTATTATGAGTTGTTTTATTTGTTGTTTTGGAACCGCGTGTGATGATGAGGTAAATTTGTCTGTAATTATTTTATTTTGAAATCAAGTTGTTTTGGGGGGAGAAATGGAGACTGCTATACCATTTGATTTGCTCAGTGGTGATGATGCAGAGGAGCTAGCGTTGTTGATTGCCGCTTCAAACAAATGCCCACAAGTTAGCTCAGGTGATCAATTCGAAAGATGAAAACAAAGGGTACAATTGAAAATCAAGGTACTAAAAAATTATTGAAGTGCGCATAAAAGCAGTGCCCAGCAACAACAATGGTGGCGAAGGATCTCAAGGTCGGCGAACATCAGGCTGAGCTCACACAGGCAGCCTCAGCACCGCCGGAATATGTCTATTCTGGTTGGCGACTTTTCATTTATTTTAATAAAAAATTACTCAGTTAACAATTATTTTTTTCTAAACATTGTTCGTGTTGTTAATAAATTCAGGTTCAGAGGCTTGAAGCTGCTCTTCAGGACGAGAGGCAGAACTTAGTGGATTCGAACTCCAGCTGCAAGAGGCGGAGGGATTTTGAAATCACGGATGCTAATACGGACTCGCCTGAGAAAGTAAAGCCCATTGACAAGCTCTGAGGGATGAATTTGAAGCAACTTCGTGAAGAGGCTCCGAGTAGAGGTGTTTATGCTGCTTGAAGTGAGAAGGAGCTTGTGGAGAGGCTCTGTGCTGGAGGCGACAATGGTTTAAGAAACAATGGCAAAGGTAATTATATTTGTGCCTCGCTCTATCCACTTGGAAGGATAAAAGGTCTGATCTTTGGGGATCAAAGTTACATTAGGTATAATTAATCTAAATTCAGCAATTGAATCTGACGCACGTAATTCAACTTACACAGATTTAATTTAAGACTTTTGAGGCATTTTTTTCAATGGTTAAAGAAACAAATATATCATTTAATTACACTTTGCTTGTCACTTTATCTCAATATAACCAGACCTGGGAAAACACATTAACTATCAACAAAAAGCTATTACCGTTACCTTTTGAGCTTAGTAAATTGCATATTTAATTCTTTGAGGAAGATTGTGATACGGTGTAAAAAATCAGACTTTTCTGTATTTAATGTATTAGCTTATGTGTTTGAAAAATAGATGACAGGGAAAGTACATGTCACCTAGAATGTAACATATATCCTGCATTGAGTAATAACAGCAGAAGAAACATTTTCAGAAATCAATTTAACAAAAATTTGGAACTATTGACGTACTCATATTGTTCTTAAGAACCCACCTCCAAAAATGTGCCTAAACTTCCATTCATTTCCATGAAGTAATTGAGCTCCTTGTGTTCCACAGTTATTGTTTTGAGCTTTATTTTTCTTTCTTAGTGATTTTTGTGAATAAGATTGAATTCATGTTGAGGTATTGGGCTTTGATGCACTGCTTTTATTTCAGCGCTTTTAGGTGATTTCTAAAGTATCGATGTGGACAATTCCTTCCAGTCCCAAATGGGTTTATTAGTGTTGGATCTATACACAACTAGATTGTTGCTTATGTTTTGAAGTTTTGGCTGAAATGGTGTGTGAGAAACCAAGAGTTGTGCTGTTTAGTTTTTCAGAACATATCTCATGCTTCATATTTAATATTCTAAAGAAACATTGCGTTTACACTGTCTATATTTAATGTCATTTGCCAATGGAAGCCCAGGTTCATACATTTACTAATTGGATATGTATAAATTGTTCTTTATCCATAATTATATTGCCAATAATTGCTTGGTTTTATTTCTATTGTTGTTTTCGTGTTGCTTTAAATTTTAGTACCACTTCCTCACAAAATTAAGAGCATTTTTTTTTTATAGAAATTTTTAAGTCCTTTGTGGCCTTTGTCGAGAACTTTGTTTGCACGCTCTCACTCATACCAAATGAGGTGGTCACATACCAAATGAGGTGGTCACATTCGTTTAAAATGTGATGGATGTCCTATAATGTAAAGTTCTAAAATGTTGTGTAACTAATGTTAATCATCATTTTCATTGTAATTTCGAGTTTCCAAAACTCGGACACTTGTACTATTTGATCTATTTGAAGATTCTTTTCAATCTTCCCTTTTGTTTGATCGTCTTACTATGCACATGCTAATATTTAAAACTATTGTTCTTATCGGTTTACATTATCATTTCTATTAATGCAATAGTCACTTCAATTGAAAAAAAAAAAAAGAAATTATGAATAATAGTTGTCGATTAGTGAATTTGAATTTTGTTTTTGTTGATGCTGAGAGGATAATTGTTTCTGAGGAGGACCCAAATGTTGTTGGCTTACTTAATAAAGAACAAAAAGGAGCCTTTGACGTAATAATGAATTGCATTGAAGAAAAGAAAAAAAGGTGCTTTCTTTGTGGATGGACCGGGTGGTACAGGGAAATCTTTTCTTTATAGAGCCTTGCTTGCGATCGTACGGCATTGTCGCGTCCATATTGCGTGGAGGTGGGACGGCACATTCTAGGTTTAAAATTTTTCAGATCTTAAATTTTGCAACATTAACAAACAGAGTTGTCTAGGGTCACTAATACGTGAAAGCAAATTGATAGTGTGGGATGAGGCGCCAATGGAAAATAGGGATGTCATTGAGGCGCTCAGATGGATATTTTTTAAGTTTCAATACAATTTATCAGTGCATTTTTCTTGAGCCTCAGCTCCTGAAAACCACTTGGTGTTAGTGACTTTATGAGGTCTCCATACTCCGCTTGATGGGCTGGATTCTCCACCTTATCAAAAGTCAAGCACTCTACCAATTCACCTAGGAATTCATTTATGAGTTTTGTGTTTACGTCATCTACAAATCTATTTTTGGTTGTGAGAATTGCCCTGTTTCTATTTCTGTTTGGTATGCTAAAGCTGGATATAAATTCTAATTAGTTCATCCCAAGAGTCCTCAGAAAGAGGATCTGAAATAGTTATGGAAGGCGGTATCTTAATAAGGTCCTCATCATATGTAGGTTCCTGTCCATTTTTTTTTTTTTTTTGGTAAATGAANAACTCCTTTATCTCTTTTTATTTTTATACTTACAAAGTGTAATTTATTTATTAATTATAAATATACTATTTCTCATTGTAAGGTTGTTCTGTGGTTTATGTTTTCTATTATTTCTTAAATTGTAATTTTTTATGATTCGTTTTATATACGGTTTATGGATAATATTGAGATTGAATTTACATATCAGAACATCCCTCTACATCTTAATAAAGGGAGGTTGACATGCCCCTTGGAATGCCACGTGGATAGACTAAAATTTTTGGTTCATTTTGAGGTAGAAAATGTGGTGAGTCGAGAACTTGATAGATACAAATCCCTTTAACGTATAGTATATGCTTAGCCTAATTAGTATCACTGGGCCCCTCTTCTTTTTAGTTTGTTTACTCCTAATGTCATCCCTATTGATTTTGTTCACTAACTTTTATTATACATAAAATATATAATTATATAATAAAATTTAACCAAAACTATAAATTAAAAATTTTAATGTATTTAACAAAATAAATACATTTATTAACGTATATTTTGTCATAGTAATAAATAAAATAAAAATTATTTGGAAAAAAATAAAAGTTGAGAAGAAGTTGAAGTGCAGTGAACAGTTCAGTACTATATTAGCGCAATATTATTTAAATTATGAGGCGAAAATATAACGTAAAGTAGAACATGTTTTTCGCATAACTTCAAATGAGTTGCATCGTTGAATAGAGTTGCTCTTAAACTTTTTATTATTTTTTGTCTGATGATTATGCGAATTTTTAGGGTGACTGGGTACAGAAATTTCAAAAAAAACGAGCATAGTCGTTTGAATTGAAAAAAGTTGATCTGTCTTGGACAAATGTTTTTTAAACTAATTATACAGGCGTGGGGTACACCACTAAGAAAAAGTTGAAAAAATTTGTGGCAGGCACATCTTAACGTATCGACTGTAGGAGGGAAATTGTTGTAAGTCGTTGTTTCTCAATGATGAGATGTTATTATAAAATTAAAGCAGATATCTCACAAAAAAAAAAAAAAATTATCCATTACAGAATAGGTCGAGAGCCCATACATACGTAAATTAATCAAGAAAAACAAATAGTTTTCAAACTAATAAGCGTGGCGTGTTTTACAACAAGTTGGTCATTATATAAATAATATTTAGTTAATTATCTTTGATTTTGGAAACTAAAACTCGTGTTTTAACAGTTTTTCGTGGGTTCAATTTTTTGTCGTATAATTTATTCAATTTATCGATACTTTTAGGTGCGTTTGTAAGTATAAGTAATTTTCAATAGTCTTTTTATGCAATTTATGATCAGATTGTTTAGAGTTTGAGAGTAGCAACTTCAAACACAAACACTTTGGTATTATGGGTCGGTTGTGCATTCGCACAATCAAGAGATATCTAGTTACATCTTAATAAAGGTGAGTTCAGGGGGTCCTGGCGCAACACGTGGCAAGTTCCCATCACCTTCCTATGCATTTGATTTGATCTTATCTTCGTGCTTTTCTTGCATTTTTGTTTGGGCCACTGTGTCATTTTTTTTTTTTTCATTTTTATGCCCCAGTTGTGTTGTTATTTTATGGGAAATTTTTATCTCTCCTACTAGATATGGAGAATATTGCAATAATAGCACCCTCATTAAATTATTTATATATTTACTTAAAAGATAAAATTAACCACATTAATACCTCTCCTTCTTTTTTGCGCGTGATTTGC